GTACAGTCCCCTCTCCTGAAGGCGCTGACTCTCCCCAGGGTACAGTCTCCTGTCCTAAAGGAGGAGGTAGGGAGCTGATTGTAGCAATATCTTGTCATCACCCGGTCTGACCTCTCCTGCTCTACCATCCCCACTATTCCTGGCTGCTCAGTCTGAGCTGTAGTTGGGAAACCCGAAAGCAGATGTAACCTCTCCCTAAGCCCGGGAGCCTTATCCTTCTCTCAGTGATGTCGTTACAGTTCAGCAGCAACAGGTTTGAACAGGAGCACCACATCAAACCTTCAAGAATCCACAAGGTGTCCAGTCGCTAAGAGGTGAAAACCTGGAAACAGCTGCCAGTGATGGTGTGATTTATAGCCTGGTGTCAGTCTTGTGTCCAAACATCGCAGGGAGATGGAACCACAGCTGCCCCAGTTTCTCACTGAGCACCCATTAATGCTGACTTGCTCTGAGTAACGAACACTACCACTCGCACAGAACTGTCAATGAAGGGCCTCAGCGGGTACAGCCTGGAGGCAGGTAGGGGGCAGAGATTCGGAGCAACCTTGGGACAGGAACAGGCGGAGCGGCTCCCCTCCCAACCCAGACCCAGGGCAGGACGACCCTGGCACAGTGACCACAGGAAGACCATAAGACAGGGGAGCAGAATGATGGCATTTAGTCAGCCCACCATTCGAACATGTTCCTCAACCCCATTCTCCTGCCTTCTCCACCCTAACCCTTGTTCCCCTTACTAATCAAGGCCCAATCTATCTCTGTCTTAAAGACACTCAGTGACTTGGCCTCCACAGCCCTCTGCACCAATCAGTTCCATAGATTCTCCACACTCTGGCTGGAGGAATTCCTCCTCATCTCAGTTCTAAAAGGGTCGTCTCTTCACTCTGAGGCTACGCACTCGGGTCCTAGTCTCTCTTACTAGTGGAGAGATCTTCTCCATGACAGGTCTATCCAGGCCTCTCAGTATTCTAAGTTTCAATCATCCTTCTAAACTCCATCAAGTACCGACCCAGAATCCTCATTCACTCCTCATATTGCAAGCCCTTCATCCCCGGGGTCATTCTCGTAAACCTCCTCTGGACCCCCTCCAAGGCCAGCCCACCCTTCCTTAGATATGGGGCCCAAAACTGCTCACAATATTCCAAATGTGGTCTGACCAGAGCCTTATACAGCATCAGCAGTAGATCTCTGCATTTGTATTCTAGCCCTCTTGAAATTAATGCTAACTTTGCATTTACCTTCCTAACTGCCAGCTGAACCTGCGTGTTACCCTTAAGAGAATTCTGAAGTAGGACCCCCAACTCCCTTTGTGCTTCAGACTACTGATGCCTTTCTCGATTTAGAAAATAGCCTGTGTCTCTGTTCTTCCAGCCAAAGTGCATAACCTCACACTTTCCCACATGGTACTCTACCTTTACCCACTGTCCTGGCCTGTCCAAATCCTTCTGCAGCCTCCTTAACACTATCCGTCCCTCCGTCTATCCTAGTGTCATCTGTGAGCTTAGCAACAATGCCCTCAGTTCCTTCGTCCAGGTTGTTAATGTATACCATGGATAGCTGCGGTCCCAACACCGACTCCTGTGGAACTCCACTAGTCACTGGCTGCCATCCTGAAAAAGATCCCTTTATCCGTATTCCCTGCCTTCTGCCAGTCAGCCAATGCTCTATCCATGCCAGCACTTTGCCCTGAACACCACGGGGTGTTATTGAGCAATCTCCTATCCGGCACCTTGTCAAAGGCCTTCTGGAAATCTAAATAGATCACATCCACTGGCTCTCCTTTGTCTAGCTTGCTTGTTACTTCCTGAAAGAATTCTAACAGATTTGTCTGACATGCCCTCCCCTTGATGAAGCTGCGCTGACTAACCCCTATATTGCCATGCATTTCCGAATGCACCGCAATCCCATCCTTAGTAATGGACTCTAAAATCTTACCAATGACGGAGGTCAGGCTAACCACCCTGCAGTTTCCCGTCTTCTGCCACCCTCCCCTCTCAAACTGGGTGTTACATTGGGCCATTTTCCAGTCTTTTGAGACCCTCCTAGATTCCAGTGATTACCGAAAGATCATCACCAATGCATCTACAATCTCTTCAGCTTTCTCTTTCTGAACTCTGGGTGTAGTCCATCTGGTCCAGGTGATTTATTCACCTTCAGACCTTTCAGCTTCCCCATCACCTTCTCCTTCGTGATGGCCAATACACTCTGGCCCCTGACTCTCCTGATGTTCTGGTATGCTACTGGTGTCTTCCACTGTGAAGACTGATGCCAAGTATCATTTCTTTGCTCCCCATTACTATTTCTCTGGCTTCATTTTCCACTGGTCCAATGTCCATTTTTGCTTCTAACTCAGATCTACACAAAAAAAACGCCTTGCATTACTAACTGGGAATAGGAGGAGTGATCCAAGGAACAGGCAGATTAATTTCACGACAGAAACAGGTGGGCAATAATCAGACCAATCTTTCTCATCCACTTATGGTTTACAGATTCCCAATTGGCCAGGTTTCCTGTCCATTAGCTCCCAATCTGTCCCGACATATTGAATCAATCACTCCCACTCCAGGTTCCAGGACAAGCCTTCGCTCATTGAGCTCACTCACCTCTTTGGCCTGTCGTCGGGCCTCATAATAAGGCCGGGCCTTCTCGATGCAGTTGCCGAGTTGTGAACCCTGAGCATTCAGCTTCCTTGCAGACTCCGACAGTATTTTCCGGTAGGTATTCCTCGCTTCCTGTTGAAGATGCAGGTCAATACTCAAAAATGCAACAAAGTCCCATATCCAGAAGCAGATCACCTGGAATACTGTTCATATTAAACAGCAAACCACGTGAAGGTTCCTCTACTCTTTTAAGCTGAAAGTAAAACTCCCTCTACGCTGTCCCCATCAAACACACCCAGGACAGCTACAGCAACAGAGCGGCCGGGGTTGCGGGGGGGGAAGGTGGTGGATGTAGTTACAGAGTAGAGCTCACTCTTCCAAACCGAAAGGAAATTTCTCTCCACACTGTCCCTATCAAACATTCCTAAAGACAGGGGCAGCATGAGGTTAGCTACAGAGTAAAACTCTCTCTACACTGTTCCCATCAAACACTCTCACAGCAGGGACAGCACAGGGTTAGATACAAAGTTAAAGCTCCTGTACAGTGACGGGTTGGCAGAAGTGAGACAGTCACAAAATCCCTACAGTGTGGAAGCAGGCCACTTGGCCTATCAAGTGCACACCAACCCTCTGAGGAGCATCCCACCCAGAACAACACCCCTACCCTATCCCTGTGACCCTGCATTTCCCATGGCTCATCCACCTAGCCTGCACATCCCTGGGCACAATGGACAATTTAACTCTGTTGATAAAATATACGGGGAAGAAGTGCATGTGCCTTATATTTATTCATCTGCTATTCCCCTCTTACTCCTCAGACCGTCACACCCACTGTACAGTTCCAACAGTCCGAGGTGACGGCTGATTACTCACCACATTCTTCCTACGTGGCCTGGAGAGGGTCCCACAAGCAAGAGTTTAGAAAATATTTATTCATCAGGCGTGAGCATCATTGGCTAAGCGACCATTTCTTACTTATCCCTAGTTGCGTCTGAGGAGATGGTGGTCAGCTGCTAAGGGATGGGTGACAAATGCTGGCTCAGCCAGTGATGTCCATATCCTGTGCACGTATTTATATAGATTTAAAAAAAAGGCAACATCACGCTACAGGGGACATCCTAGAATCGGTCAGCCCTGTGGGTTGCACCTTCCCTCACCTCAACTTCAATTCCCTTCACTGCACACCTGAGACACTGAGGTTAACTAAGATTGCTCATGCAACCAGCTAACGTAGCTGTTCATAGAGTTGTTTCTGTTTGTCCGTCTCAACACTCTTACTGACCACTCTGCATTTATTGGTCAGTGCAAAGAGTACAGGGTCATGTCATGGCTGTACAGGACATTGGTTAAGCCACTGGAATATTGTGTTCAATCCTGGTCTCCCTGCTACAGGAAGGATGTTGTGAAACTAGAAAGGGTTCAGGAAAGATTTACAAGGATGTTGCCAGGATCGGAGGGTTTGAGCTAAAAGGGACAGGCTGAATAGGCTGGGGCTATTTTCCCTGGAGGCTGAGAGGTGACCTTGTAGAAATGTATAAAATCATGAGGGGCTTGGATAGGGTAAATAGACAAGGTCTTTTCCCCAGGGTAGGGGAATCCAAAACCAGTGGGCATAGGTTTAAGGTGAGAGGGGAAAGATTTAAAAGGGACCTAAGGGGCAACTTTTTCACGCAGAGGGTGGTGCGTGTATGGAATGAGCTGCCAGAGGAAGTAGTGGAGGCTGGTACAATTACAACATTTAAAAGGCATCTGGCTGGGTATATGAACAGGAAGGGTTTAGAGGGAAATGGGCCAAATGCTGGCAAATGGGACTAGATTACTTTAGGATATCTGGTCTGCATGGATGGGTTAGACTGAAGGGTCTGTTTCCGTGCTGTACATCTCTATGACACTATTGGGGCAAGGGGAATGAAGGCGATATACTCACATTCAGCTGTAGTTCCAGTTTATTGATCTCCTCACTGGCCTGGTTAAGGTGTTCCAGCTCTTCCTGTGGGAAAGAGGAGCAATTCTGGTTAGAACATGAGAAATAGGAGGTGGTAGAGGACACTTAGCACTTCGAAGCCACTCCACCATTCAACAAGGCCGTGGCTGACCTTCAACTTCAGCACCATTCCCCATTCAACATGCCCATAACCTTCGATGTGTTTACTATGTACAAATCTATTCATTTGAGCATACTCAACATGGAGACTCCAAAGCCATCAGATTTCTCCGAGCAAAGAAGTCATTCCTCATTCCAGTCGTACATGGCTTGTCCCTTCATCTGAACACGTCCACAACACACTGCTGACACTTCGACTGCAGTGTATAGCTTTACACACACTCACACCCCCAGTACTGATACCCTGTTACTATAACCCACGCAGCCAGACGATGCCCACACAGTGACACCCCGTTCCCGTACCCCGTACGGGAGTACCTCACCCACCATGTCACCCCAACAGAATCCATGCCCTCCCCTCTGCAAACACAATGTGGTCTACTTTGAATAAAAGACTATGTATTTTCCTATGATGCACAAGCGTCTAATTACACTTACAGCCACACTATGTAGACTCACATTGTCTTTAACAATCACAGTTTCCTGGGAGAGACGGCTGAAGCTGGCTGTGAGATTACCACTTTACAGACACATGCCATCTTCCATCTCATCTGCCAGCCACTGTCCACAGCCTACTCTGATACTGCGCTGTTTTTGTACTCTATTTTCTTTCTGAAGAGCCCCTACCCTCCCTCATTAATAAAGTTCCTGTGTGTCACTTACCCATGGTCTTACAGTTAATGGTACCTTCTTACATCACAAGACCACGGTGGGACAGAGACTTGTTGGGAATAGTTCAATCTGGTTGACTCAAAGCTAAAAGTCATTGGTTCAGTCTGTGCTCAAGTATCAGGTTAGCTCATTCAGACGAATCGCAAAGCGGCCATACAGAGCAGGCAGGAGCAACATTCAGAAAACATTCCCTTTACCTCCCCTCAATCCTGCTGCTCAAACTCAAGAAAACTGTCCAGCTGCTCACATGATATCCTCAGGCAGTTTTAAACTCCATTTGCCTTCTGACACGGGATGGAACCTACAATATTAGCAGATCACGTCACTGATGGTCAAGAAGATCCACACCATCCAGGAAGGACCAGGCCACTTGATTTCCACCACATCCACTCCCTTCACCACCGATACTCAGTAGCAGCAGTGTGTGTTGTTAGAAACTTTCAGCGTTGGGGCGGGGGTCGGGGAAGAGGCGCCATTTGGCCTATCGAGTCTACACCGACCCTCTGAACAGCATCCCACCCAGACCAAACCCCCTACTGCATCCTCATAACTCCGCATTCCCCATTGCTGAGCCACCTAGCCTGCGCTTCCCTGGACGCGATTTAACACGGCCAATCCACCGAAACCACGCATCTGTGGGAGAACATGCAAACTCCGCACAGACAGTCGCCCGAGGGTGGAATCAAACCCGGGTCCCTGGCGCCGTGAGGCAGCAGGGCTAACCCACTGTGCCGCTATCTTACAAGATGCGCTGCGGCAACTCAGCCTGACTTCTCGGTTCCAAAAACCAAGGTCTGTACCACCCAGAGGGTTAATTGGGAGCATTGGTACCTGCAAGTTCCCCTCCAAGCGACATACCACACTGATCAGAACCTCATTGTCCTTCCTTCACTGTTGCTGGGTCCAAACTCTAGGGAACTGCCAGCCTAACAGCACTGGGGATGTCCCCACACCCTGGAGGTTCAATCAGCGACAGGCGTTAAACGTTTGTGAAAAAAAATTGAAGTCTGAAGAAAATGGTAACTTAAAAATACAATCCCACTCAACTCTGAAGATGATCAGCCCAGCCTCTTCATGAAACTATTTGCTGCATCAGATCTCCTTCTTCCCTCTAGGCCTGCCCTTCTATTTGGAGCCTGGGGCTCGAGCTGGAGATATCAGCCAGGTCTCGAGTCCGGTGTGCCAGAGATGAACTGAAATGGTGAACTGCTGACTGTATCGTACAGGCCGCCCTCTAATGTGCCCTGGGCAGTGGATGGTCATGCAGCAAAGCCAGAGTCAACAACGCTGGCTCCAGGTCAAATTGCAGACAAAGGTTCGAGCCTGAGAAAGCAGCCTAAAAGCAACACAGTGCGGATGCTGGAAATGTGAAACAGACACTGAGAAACTCAGCAGGTCTGGCAGCATCCGCCGAGAGAGAGACAGAGTTAACATATCCAGTCTGGTACGACGCGTCTTCCGCTGTCCACTGTGAGTGAGCTTCTCAATAGATTTTGGCCTGCAACTGGGATTGCAGACTCCAGTCAGTCGCATTCAGAGGGTGGACGACGGCTGCCCAAGCAAACACAACGTTACTATCTCCTCCAGGGGAAGGGGGATTGTGCACAGATCACACAAAGTGAAGGCGTAGGTACAGAAAGTAATTAGGAAGGCAAATAGAGTGATGACTTTTATTGCAAAGAGAGAGGGATTGGAATACAACTGTGCAGGATATGGGTGAGATTACACCCAGCGTTCTGCTTAACTTGTCGGTTACTAGTCAGCCCAAAGATGTGCAGATTAGGTGGATTGGTCCGTGCTAAATTGGCCATCGTGTCCAGGGGTGCGTTAGTTAGGTGGATTAGCCATAGGAAATGCAGAGTTACAGAGGGTGGGGAAGTGGGTCTGGGTTGGATGCCCTTCAAAGAGTCAGGGTGAAACTTGTTGGGCCGAATGGCCTGTTTCCACACTGTTGGGATTCTACGAATTACTTAAGGAGGGGCACAGTTGCATTGGAAGGAGACCAGAGAAGGTTCACTTCTGCTCACCATCCTGACATGGAAGTATATTGCCGCTCCTTCACCGTCGCTGGGTCAAAATCCTGGAATTCCCTCCCGGACGACATTGTGGGCCAACCCACAGCAGGAGGGCCGCAGCGGTTCAAGAAGGCAGCTCACCCCCACCTTCTCAAGGGAGGGCAACTATGGGCGGGCAAGAAATGCTGGGCCTGGCCAGCGACACCCACATCCCGCAAATGAACAGAAAAAACTCAGGGGATTCCTGCAATGAAGGAGCCGCCCTCGTGTGGCAATTTTGCCCAGCTTACAAGACCAGGGAATTATTCGGTCCACCGTAGGTTATTCAGGCCATCGAGTCTGCTTCACCTTTCCATCAGCTCATCTGATAAAACTCAGCTCCACTTTCCTACCTTTCCTTCCTATAAACCGTCGAATCACTCGCTGAGGGATCGACACTCGGTGTTGAATAGAATATGAGGTGATCTTATTGAAGTATTTAAAATTCGGAAGGGATCTTGACAGCCCAGATGCTGAAGGCTGTTCCCCGCCCCCCCTCAAGGAAAACCCTAAAGCTTTCTATAGGTATGTCAGGAATAAAAGAATGACTAGAGTAAGATTGGGGCCGGTCAAGGACAGTAGTGGGAAGTTGTGCGTGGAGTCCGAAGAGATAGGAGAGGTGCTAAATGAATATTTTTCGTCAGTATTCACACAGGAAAAAGACAATGTAGTCAAGGAGAATACTGAGATACAGTCTATTAGACTAGACGGGATTGAGGTTCATAAGGAGGAGGTGTTAGCAATTCTGGAAGGTGTGAAAATAGATAAGTCCCCTGGGCCGGATGGGATTTATCCTCGGATTCTCTGGGAAGCTAGAGAGGAGATTGCAGAGCCTTTGGCTTTGATCTTTATGTCATCATTGTCTTCAGGAATAGTGCCAGAAGACTGGAGACTAGCAAATGTTGTCCCCTTGTTCAAGAAGGGGAGTAGAGACAACCCTGGTAATTATAGACCAGTGAGCCTTACTTCAGTTGTGGGTAAAGTGTTGGAAAGGATTATAAGAGATAGGATTTATAATCATCTAGAAAGGAACAATTTGATTAGGGATAGTCAACACGGTTTTGTGAAGGGTAGGTCGTGCCTCACAAACCTTATTGAGTTCTTCAAGAAGGTGACCAAACAGGTGGATGAGGGTAAAGCGGTTGATGTGGTGTATTTGGATTTCAGTAAAGCGTTTGATAAGGTTCCCCATGGTAGGCTATTGCAGAAAATACGGAGGCATGGGATTGAGGGTGATTTAGCGGTTTGGATCAGAAATTGGCTAGCTGTAAGAAGACAAAGGGTGGTGGTTGATGGGAAATGTTCATCCTGGAGTTCAGTTACTAGTGGTGTACCTCAAGGATCTGTTTTGGGGCCACTGCTGTTTGTCATTTTTATAAATGACCTGGATGAGGGCGTAGAAGGATGGGTTAGTAAATTTGCGGATGACACCAAAGTCGGTGGAGTTGTGGATAGTGCGGAAGGATGTTGCAGGTTACAGAGGGACATAGATAAGCTGCAGAGCTGGGCTGAGAGGTGGCAAATGGAGTTTAATGCGGAAAAGTGTGAGGTGATTCACTTTGGAAGGAGTAACAGGAATACAGAGTACTGGGCTAATGGTAAGATTCTTGGTAGTGTGGATGAGCAGAAAGATCTCAGTGTCCATGTGCATAGATCACTGAAAGTTGCCACCCAGGTTGATAGCGTTGTTAAGAAGGCGTACAGTATGTTAGGTTTTATTGGTAGAGGGATTGAGTTTCGGAGCCATGAGGTCATGTTGCAGCTGTACAAAACTCTGGTGCGGCCGCACTTGGAGTATTGCGTACAGTTCTGGTCACTGCATTATAGGAAGGATGTGGAAGCATTGGAAAGGGTGCAGAGGAGATTTACCAGGATGTTGCCTGGTATGGAGGGAAGGTCTTATGAGGAAAGGCTGATGGTCTTGAGGCTGTTTTCCTTAGAGAGAAGAAGGTTAAGAAGTGACTTGATAGAGGCCTACAAGATGATCAGCGGATTAGATAGGGTGGACAGTGGGAGCCTTTTTCCTCAGATGGTGATGGCTAGCACGAGGGGACATAGCTTTAAATTGAGGGGTGATAGATATAGGACAGATGTCAGAGGTAGGTTCTTTACTCAGAGTAGTAAGGGCGTGGAATGCCCTGCCTGCAAAAATAGTAGACTCGCCCACTTTAAGGGCATTTAAATGGTCATTGGATAAACATATGGATGATAATGGAATAGTTTAGGTTAGATGGGCTTCAGATTGGTTTCACAGGTCGGCGCAACATCGAGGGCCGAAGGGCCT